CCAACCTCGACCTCATCGCCGACCATGGCTTCCTCCAGAAGGCTACCGTCAACACCAAGCAGATCTACCAGGACATCATTGAGCTCGCTGTCAACCGAGCTGGTCCCGTCATCGAGGTCTTCGACATTGAGGGCACTGATGAGAAGCGAATGGTTCTTGCTTTCCGTTCCCGCACTGCCCAGGGTCTCTTCTCTGCCCTCAGTGACCTTTACCACTACTACGGTGTCACCTCCACCCGAAAGTACCTCGAGCAGTTCTCCAACGGTATCACCGTTATGAGTGTCTACCTTCGACCTGCCACCGAGACCACCGAGAACGCCGACCAGTTCTCTTGGGACGAGTCTATTGATCAGATCTCCAAGGAGGTCTCTCTCCTCTACTGTCTGCCCCACAACAAGTTCCACAACCTCTTCCTCGACGGACAGCTCAGCCTTCAGGAGTCCGTCTACGCCCACTCTGCCTGGGTCTTCGTCCAGCACTTCCTCAACCGATTGGGCCCTGAGTACGCCTCTCTCGCCGAGCTTTTGGATGTTAAGAACAACGCTCAGCAGGCTCTTCTCTCTAACCTGAAGCGCCGTCTCCGTTCCGAGACCTTCACCCCTGACTACATTTACGAGATTATTCAGAACTACCCCGGTCTCGTCCGCGCTCTCTACGCCTCCTTCGCCAACATCCACCTTGTGAAGGACCAGGAGGACCCCGTCAAGGTTGTTTCCTCCAGCCTCTCCGTTGAGGTTCTTTCCGACGACGCTCTCAAGGACAAGATCTCCAAGAACGTCAACAACGAGCACGACGAGATGGTGCTTACTGCTTTCCGAGTGTTCAACAACGCTATCCTCAAGACCAACTACTTCACACCCACAAAGGTTGCCCTGAGCTTCCGTCTTGACCCCTCTTTCCTCCCTGACGTCGAGTACCCCAAGCCCCTTTACGGCATGTTCCTCGTCATCAGCTCCGAGTCTCGAGGTTTCCACCTCCGATTCAAGGACATCTCTCGTGGTGGTATCCGAATCGTCAAGTCTCGCAACAAGGAAGCTTACGGCATCAATGCCCGATCTCTCTTCGACGAGAACTACGGTCTTGCCAGCACTCAGCAGCGCAAGAACAAGGATATTCCTGAGGGTGGTTCCAAGGGTGTTATCCTTCTGGACCCCAAGCAGCAGAACCGTGCTCGCGAGGCTTTCGAGAAGTACATCGATAGTATCCTTGATCTTCTCCTGCCCGCTGAGACACCTGGTATCAAGAACCCCATTGTCGACCTTTACGGCAAGGAGGAGATTCTCTTCTTGGGTCCTGATGAGAACACTGCTGAGCTCGTCGACTGGGCTACTGAGCACGCCCGCTCTCGTGGTGCCCCCTGGTGGAAGTCTTTCTTCACTGGCAAGTCTCCCAAGCTTGGTGGTATTCCCCACGACACTTACGGCATGACCACTCTGTCTGTCCGCGAGTACGTCAAGGGTATCTACCGAAAGCTCGAGCTTGACCCCTCCACCATCCGCAAGATGCAGACCGGTGGCCCCGACGGTGACTTGGGAAGCAACGAGATCAAGCTTGGTAACGAGAAGTACACCGCCATCGTCGATGGCTCTGGTGTCCTTGTCGATCCCAAGGGTCTCGACCGCGAGGAGCTCCTCCGCCTTGCCCACGGCCGCAAGATGATCATCGAGTACGACGTCTCCAAGCTGTCTGCTGAGGGTTACCGAGTTCTCTGCGACGATGTCAACATCACTCTCCCCAATGGCGAGGTTGTCAACAACGGTACTTCCTTCCGTAACACCTTCCACCTCCGTGACACTGGTGCCGTCGACGTCTTCGTTCCTTGTGGTGGTCGCCCTGCCTCCATTGACCTTATCTCAGTCAACCGCCTCATCAAGGATGGCAAGTCCGTCGTCCCCTACCTCGTTGAGGGAGCCAACCTCTTCATCACCCAGGAAGCTAAGCTCCGCCTTGAGGCCGCTGGTTGCATTCTGTACAAGGATGCCTCTGCCAACAAGGGTGGTGTGACCTCCTCCTCCCTCGAGGTCCTTGCCTCTTTGTCTTTCGACGACGAGGGCTTCGTCCAGAACATGTGCCACGACGCCAACGGCCAGGCTCCTCAGTTCTACCAGGACTACGTCAAGCAGGTTCAGCTCAAGATTCAGGAGAACGCCCGTCTCGAATTCGAGGCTATATGGCGCGAGCATGAGCAGACCGGAACCCCCCGATCTATCCTCTCCGACAAGCTCTCCGTCGCCATCACCGACCTCGACGAGAAGCTCCAGCACTCCGACCTCTGGGACAACGAGAAGATCCGCCGATCTATTCTCGAGGATGCCCTGCCCCGTCTTCTCCTCGAGAAGATTGGCCTTGACACCCTGATCGCTCGCATTCCCGACTCCTACCTCCGAAGTATCTTCGGTTCCTACCTTGCCAGCCGTTTCGTCTACGAGTTCGGCAGCAGCCCCAGCCAGTTTGCCTTCTTTGACTTGTAAGTTTAACACCTTTTGATACCTCGAATTAGAAACAACAGATACTAACTACTTTCACAGTATGTCCAAGCGCATGGCTCAGATCGAGAAGTAAAGAAAGTTGATTGTGGAACATAAAATGGTGTTGAAGCGTATGATTTGATTGTTTTTACAAGCATATAGCATTTTTGTTTTTTCCCTCTGATGAGAGACGAGCATTGTTACGGTGTGTTTGTTATATTTGTGATGGGATGGTCCTGGCATGGACCTAATGATTGGGCCACGGATGGCAAGGTTAAAGAAAAGTCAGAAAAGACTATATCCAAGTAGTCGATAGTAATTGCATATTTTGAAGTTCATTTCTTGTGTCGAATCATCGTGACGAGTTCTGCCTGCATAGTTCGTATTTAGATGAAACCCGATCTGTCTCTACATGCTTTGATCGTGGGGACTCTATAAAAAGATCTTGAGACAAACAACTGTCTCGGTAAAATCACCCGTTTATCTGTAAATCTGACGTCTCTGTTTAATTTGTTCATCCCTGAAATCGTGATGGAGTCCGGGGACGAGGAAACACGATCGTGTGGTCGAGTTTATACTGACAGTTCTCATAGGTTATTGGTGAGACAACACCTTGCTGTGCTTGCATATGTCAAATCGTATCATGCAACCTCAAACTGTAATGGCTGTAGGAATGACACCGTGGCGATGTATGTTTGGTTAGGAGATATGTATGTCAGCACTTCAACGAAAAAGAATACGGCAACTGCACGAGGAAAAGAAAATGTTGCTGTTCGGAACGATGCGGTGGTGGTATCTAATATCACACGTGCCATCATATCAATGGTCTACTTCAGCATATTGGAGTTGCAGATCACGAATATGACATTGAGGCCTCTGGGGCATACGAGCATCAACCGAGTGGTCGGAATTAAGTGTATGGCGTAGCATCTTTATTGCGAAATGGAAATGAGGTTAATTATTTACGGAACCTCATTCATTAGCTCATAAATGCTTTATGTATACCTGCATGTCATTGGCTTAATCAATCAAACTTCCCCTGAACAAGACATTTGGCTCGTGGTCGTTTCAGCGTTTTGGAAGGCCCAGACGCGGATGCCTTGAGTGGTTCCCCGGCTGCGTTAGAGCCTAAATTTACGTCTTGATGGGAGCGCTAAGCACTTGAGAATGTCCAGGGGTTTAATGGGATACGTAGATGAGAAAGGATCTCCATGGTTTTGTCATACAATGGATAAAATATCGGGACATCCTACGATGTCAGATTGCGCATTATTGTTCAAGACGTTTGTTTGCAGTCTTTTATGATGCACGTTATTCAAGGTGCAACTTTAATCAAAAGCCAATTAAAGAGGCGCGGTTAAGATACATGACTCTTGATAATTCATAGTTTGAGTGTTCGATTAATGCTATTGATTGCAACCCTTATTCTGACCTCTGACTGGTTCAGTGGTTATGTCAACTCGTCCGGTTAGACGCCCGGACCTCTGATATTTCCCCTTCTCGCATATAGTCTTCATCATGTATCAGCTGTCATCTATCTGCTTTCATCTGTATAGCTGAAACGGCGCGGCTTGAATACGTATGTTGAATCCCCTCGACATTATCAACACCTCACCTCGCTCTTGTAGTGATACACATGACTCCGTGTAGCTCTAGAGTCTAGATCAGCCGATAAAGGTACTAAAAAAGACTCTTGAGAAACTTGAAGCCGATTACGTTAGACATGTCCCTCTTGAATCGGTCATCACTTGTCGACAAACTAAAAAATTAGTGGTGGACCAACCCCCTGGTCAGCGCAGTGACAGTGCAGTGTCACGGGCTGGCAGTTTCACAGCGGTAGTGGAGTCAAGTCTTTTTGGTTCCTGTTCCTGTTCCTGTCCTTACGTCTTAAGCAAGGGCCCGCTTGGAAACAAAACTTGGTCCACCAATTCCGCGCCGGGCCAGGCCAAGCAAAAGCAAAGCATGGAGGCCAGTTCACTTTATTATTAGCCCGTCAACTTTCTATCCTCGCACTGAGCAAAAAGATCGTCGTTCTCTCCCTTCATCTCTCTCCATTTTTCGAAAACAAGGTCCCCGTTCGCGATCACCAGCTTCATTTCATGCTAAACGAGCCCGTGGCAGGCCATCGGGCGCATTGATTGATCAATTGATTAACTTTTACGAGCACAACTCCTTACGCTGAGCGACTCTAATCGATCACGACGATTTCCAACTTGGCTTATATCACAACAACAAAAGCAAGCAAGGCCAACAAACAAAAACAAACAAAGCCACCAACGAGAATAGCTTTTCCAAGGATCTGCAAGTCCGCCTGCAACGACAGAGGAACGGCCCCCAGCCTGCCAGCCAGCCCGTCAGCGACCAGCGTCCCCGACTGGAATAAAAAAAGATACTTGAAATTTAAGAAGGCGCTTTTTTGTCTAGAACCAGGGGTCAAGCGTATCCCACCCTTTGGTGCCTCGCACCTCCAAGCCTCAAAAGTCAGAGAAGTGACTTGGTGACGGCAGCGCCCGTCTTCTTTGGTCATACATGATGACACGACCATCCATCGTCCGTGCCGGTATGTAGCTACTGTTTTGCTTTATCTTTGCATATGCCTGTCCCAATGTCACACTAAAGGTCTCAGCCTTTGAGATTTGGCATCTGGAATTGCGAATCGAGGCGCATCGACTTTGACGCAGCCTCATTCTCGTCCCGTTGTTTTGTCACTTCTTACAGCGCACTACTGCCCCCCTGCCCCCTTTATACATACACATTTCTTATGGTTAACCATATGGTCCCTTGATTTCATCGTCAGCCTCTCTCTCCCTTCCTCCCTTCTTTGATTACTTCTTTCTCTCTACGTTGCATCTCATTTCTCGTTTATCCCTGCCCCCAGTTTACTGTCCAAGCTTCACCTTCAGGGCCACTGCAAGTCGCGATACATTCCACTACCTGGCTCTGACATTTATTTTTCCATTCCTCGCGATCCTACCTGCGGTTCCTCCTAATGACACGTTAAACTGACCTTCACGACCCTTTCTCCTGAGTGCAGATACTATCGACCTCCAAGATCATCACGCTCCGTCCGCTCAAGATCACTCCAAAAGCCCACGTTTGGCCGCTGGTGCCAACTCCCTGGGCCCCCACCAAGCTGAGACTATTCGCGAGATCTCACACGACATCGCAGACGAACAGAGCCGCTCCCCTCGGGTCTCTCTCGATAATCGTAATAGCCTCGACGAAATTGATTCTTTTGCCGACGAGCTTGCCGCAGACTCCTCAGGCTCGAAGACTCGCGCTCAAGGCGCTCGCGACAACAACGGTAGCACAATGATTCAGGACGATGCATTGGCAGTTGCGCAGAATGGCGGCATGTCGTCATCAGACGAAGGCGAGCTCGACGGCGACGATGACCTGGATGACGACATGATGGACAAGATCTCAAGTTCGCCTTCGATTGAAGATGGTAGGTGTAATTCCGTTGCCCCTGGGGCATGGCCACGCCGTGTCTCGTCCCTTCCCTTTTCCTTTGGGAGTAGTTCTCCATTCATTTCTGGTTCAAGCTGCGCCAGAGTTTGTTCGCCATATCCCGAACCTCTCAAACGCATTCACAAACCCAACGCAATGGTGCCGCTATCCCGAGCATCGCCAGCGCTACCAACACCAGGTCAGAACCATCGTCTTCAGGGTGAGTATACCGATCGCGACGAAAACGACAATCACGGCGACGCCGAATCCCACGAAGAAAATACCTGCGATACTTCCAACTCAACAGCTGAGTTTCACGATTACGAGGAGGAGACCAAGATTGAGCAGCAGAATATCACAAATCAAGGGGAGGTGCAGATAAGAACCAGCAACGATGGAGGCTAGTGCCCTTCTTCTGAAAGGTCGAGTTCTCGAGGTACCGTGATTCATTGTAAGGACCAGGATATATTCTACGATTGCGACCCAACGCTAGAGCTTTCCGATTCGATCAACAACGACGAAAACGACGATGCGAGCGACGACTGTGATCCAAACCTTACTGTTCCTTACGAGGAATCTTTTGAAGACGATGACTCTGCACTCTCCTTTCCCGACGACTCTAACTTCGTTGATTCCGGCTGGGCGGTCGAGTGCTTACAAGATACAGAGGACATTGATTTCGAATTCGTTTACGCGTTCCACACATTTGTGGCTACAGTTGAGGGACAGGCAAACGCAACCAAAGGTGATACCATGGTTCTGTTGGATGATAGTAATAGTTACTGGTGGCTGGTGAGGGTTGTCAAAGATAGTAGTATTGGTAAGCTCGATATCGCTATATTTTTATTGCATGAACTTACACCATGCTAGGATATTTACCCGCAGAGCACATCGAGACCCCAACAGAACGACTTGCTCGTTTGAACAAACACAGAAACGTCGACGTATGTTGATCGGATACCCGAAGACTCATGCTCGATACTAACAGGCGCTAGCTTTCTGCTGCTATGTTGGGAGACACGGCGGAGAAGAAGGCACAAACTTTCAAATCACCCATTAGATTCGGGCGTAAGACAGTTACCTTCACCTCGCCGACCTATCACGACTACACCGAAATCGACGACTATTCAAGTGACGAAGAAGATATAGATAACTTGTTTGCCGGTTCAACCGCCAGCGCCAAACAAGACCAGCAGCAAAAAGATCAAAAGAAGGAAACCCGAGATCCCACTATATCAATTGTCGAAGACGATTCATCAGAGGAGAGCGCCAGGGTTGAGCCCCTTAAGCCTCGTTCGACAAAGGATAAGACCGCGGAATCTTCAAAGGTTGACACCGTTGAAGAAGAGGATGAGGGCAGGGACAGCGAGGAGATGCTATTTGACAGCAAGGCCGAAGGACCTAGTCGATCCCGCAATGGTACTGTCAGAAACACCGACTCTTTCTTTAGAGACGAAACTGTCGAAACCAAGAAGATCACTCTTACTCCCAATCTGTTACGAGACGACAACCCATCTCGGGCATCTCAAGATTCGACGAAGGATATGAAATCTAGGGCAAGCCTTGATAAGCTGGACAAGGAGCTTATGTCTGACAAGGAGAAGAAGAAGATCCAAGACAAGGGCCGGAAAGAGAAGGATAAGAAACCGAGTGCTATCCGAAGTTTCTTTTCCAGAAAAGACAGAAAGAAGTCGGTGGACGAAGATGATGAATCATTTGGAAAACGATCGATGGATATCGGTTCAGAGCCTCGGGACAGCGAATCGATCGAGGAAGTTGCATCGCCTGAGAGACAACAACAACGAAGTACCAGCAGGCTCCAGAAGCAAGTACCCCGGAATGAAACCTCACCTGGAAAGAGCGAGCAGTCATCGACGATGGAGTTGGCAGCTTACCTGGCTGAGTCTCGGGTTAACGACGTGTCCAACGTACCACCAGCATCAATGCGGATTGTGAACCCCGAGACAATGGAAACCCACGAAGTGCCTTCGAATACTCATGTCACAGGCAACGGCTCTAGAGTGAGGGCCTCCTCAGCCACTGCCCAACATGATGACACGAGAGCATTGGCGAAGGCACTTGGTCGCAGCTCAAGCACAGGAGACGAACCCAGGACAACCAAGACAACCAAGCCTCGCCCTCTGATGGACGTGGATGAACTATCCAGTTCTGATGACGAGAGCGTGTCTCAACCAACGTCTCGAACAACACCTGAGCAGAGCGTTGAGAAGAAAACCGAGGGTGGTTTGCGGCCACAACTCCCCGGAGCATTCCCTGACAGTTTTGACGCAAGTGTCAAGCCAATTCCTACCAATGCAGAACCCAGAGAACAGCAGAGTCGCCTATCAGAATCACCAGTACACGTCTCTCATGTTGATGGAACACGCCCACCCGCGTTGGAGATCGATACGTCCTCCCAAGAGGGTCGATCGTCGTCTGAAGTGCCATCGCCGGAGCTTGGACCTAGAGATGAAACATCCAAAGACAGCAGCCCAACAAGAAGCGCCAAGGAGCCTGGCTGGGACGACGAGAAGCTGCGCGCCTTCTTTGACGACGGCGAGCATGTCCGAGATCTTCTCATGGTCGTTTATGATAAGTCGGACGTTGAACCTGTGGGCAAAGACCACCCGGTAGTGAGTGGCATGTTCAGGGAGCAAAACGCAAAGCTAGCGGAGATTACTACTGTAAGTCTTATCGTTGTCTTTTATGACGGCCTTTTATTTGAGCACAGGACTAACAAAAGCACAGCAACTCGACAATATGCTCGGAGACTGGTTGGCTAGAAAGCAACGAGCTCGGGGATCGCTATAGTAACAGTAGTTGTGGAGGGATTTGTGACTGGTCATGGGCTTCGATAGTCCAAGCAGTGATCTATTTCTCTGTGTGAAAGTACGATGTTTTTCTTGGTTCGTTGAACGACTTGATTATTTAGGGGAATATGGATTGGGGTTTTGGACATGTCAACGAAGACGGTCCTTTATGCTAGGTTAAAGGTGATAGGCGTTTGAGGGACATGATCTTGTCTGGGAGAGGATTGTCATGAATTGAATCCTCGTGTTTCAGTTGGCATGTTAAATTATTTCGAGGCCTTACTTGAGAGGGTGCAACTCTGGTCAGGATTTTTTGCATATATATACACATATTCTTTTTTCTCTGTATCATGACACCATCAAAACCTAGGTACGGAGTATACCAGCAGCAATTGACGTGACCTGTTTTCACGTGAAGTGATCCTTGGCTAAAACAAGGTATCTTACATGCGTAAACTAGGTAGCATCGACCCAGCCACTCTCTTTTCAACACGACCCGGCCTTGATTACCGAAGAGGCTAAGGTGGTTAGGCCACCTCGGTAGTTTTTACATCCTGCAGTGTCGTGCAGGACAAGCGAGTAAGAAATAGTGGTGATAGTTTATCTACAGAGATATTTGGACTGCAAACTAAACAGTCAATCAAGGGGAACAATATTCACTGAAGTAACGGAAGTGTGGCTTGTGAGAGATAGAAACGGGTGGTATTCTTGAATGCTCGAGGTCGGGCTGATTGTTCGCTGTAAGAGGAAGCTGGGTTGTCATGGAGCACCAATGGGTCCATCAGAGGCCCGCCGAAGCTCGCCAATTTGGGAGCTGGACCCGCGCGTACCTTGTAGCTGAAGTTTCCGAATAGGGTGGAGAGCAATCCATTTATTTACCAGGGGTAAACACTCTTTTTACTTGAGCGTTGTGGTTGGCTCGATTGTGCTCATTTACAGCGGGCCGAGGTTCTGAAGACTAGCGCTATCATGTACTGGAGGGGTACTCTAACGGCTATACGAGACAAGAGAAATACTTGCTGTCTACATCTCCCAGCCACCTGCCTTTGGCGTCGCCCCTGTCGTGTTGCAGCTCTGTGTCTGGAGTGAGCTGAGCTTGGGCACCTCACTTCTAGTCTCTCATCAATCTCATCTCCCAGCCCAGCCCAGCCTACCAGCCCAGTCAACAGTCCAGTCCAGCCCAGGTCAGGTCCGCTCCCCCCAGATCACCTCAGCGTGAGACAAACAAATCAACACCAACAACCCAGCTTCGCTCCACTCCCCGTCCACATCTCCTCCATCTCGCCAACTTCATCTCATCACCATCATCAATCTACTACGGCACCGGCGCTCTGTAAGTCACCTTTCTTCTTATTGTGTCGTCCCTTCTGGATTACCCTGGACTGGTCTTCAATCGACATGCATCTCATGTAAACCATTCATCCCTTCTCCATCGTCAACAGCCAGCCAGCCATCCCATCATCGACTTTCCCAGCTGTTCCCTCTCTCTCTCTGTCTCCTCCAATCTCGCTTCTGTTGATCGAGTAAACAAAGCCATTGGTTAGATGTATTGAGAGAACCTCAATTGGCCCGACCCACCTCCATCCACCCTTCATTAGCACTTACTCACTCAATACCCTCTCGCCATCTTGTCAAAACTTCTCTGTTATCCCTTGTCCTGTCCATCGGCTGGCTGGTTTTGAGCGCGCACATTCCCTATATCCCCACGTCAACGTTATTAAACCCCACCGGTCCAAGCTGAACAAATTTACTGACTGTTTAGATAAAGTCTCTCTCGCGCGTCTGACCCTTGACTTAAGCTTTTTGATGACGCCGTCGCGGCTGTGTTGACTTTGACGATTCCATCCGACGAGGACCATCACAACGACGATCAACGACAAAACCGTCGCACGCGCCGCAAACTCCGAAAAACAGAGGTCGAATTGGTCAAGCACCGTCTTTCAATCTGGAGCCGTTGACTTTAAGTCGAATTAAAATAATATCCTTATCTCGATCTCGACCAAGGACGCGCTTAATTAATCACATCATTCATCATCACCATATCGTCGAATAATAGCAATCATGGTCGACTTCAAGAGCGAAACCATTCACAAGGTTTCGGAAAAGGTGGCAGATAAGGTGCATGATACCACCGAAAGGGTTGGCGGCCTGCTTGATCAGGCCGAGGCTGGCAAGATTCCCGGCACCAAGGGTCACCATCCTGTCTCTGCTGTCATCGGCACAGCGTTGACTGGTGGTATGGGCAATGCTGGCACCAAGGGCTACCTGGCGGTAAGTTGAACCTCCAATTTGCTTGATCTCGCAAGAAAGGATGCGCATAAGGCACTTCAGTCGCTTTATAATCCCTACGTTGGATCGCAAGCAGGAACGCCATTGATCAGGACTAATGATATGATAGGCCTACATCAAGGAGCTCGAAGATAACCCTCTCCGAACCAAGATGCTCACTGCTGGTACTCTAGCCGGTACACAAGAGCTCTTCGCTTCATGGCTCGCCAAGGACCGCAACAAGCACGGCAACTACTTCACTGCTCGTGTACCCAAGATGGCAGCCTATGGCGCTCTCGTCAGCGCTCCTCTGGGCCACTTCCTGATCTGGGCACTCCAGAAGGCTTTCAAGGGCCGCACCAGCCTGCGCGCCAAGATTTTGCAGATTCTTGTCAGCAATCTTATCGTAAGTTAACCCGCTGCTTCCTTCATCTGTTCGGATCCTGCGCGGTTTATGTTGTAATCGAGGCCGAGATTTTCAGCAGGTCGTGCGGTTGTGAGATGACCATGCCCAAGGTCAAGACCACGAAGCGCAACCGGATCCACAGCCGAAGGCAACTTGTGACATCAGTCGCTAACATGGTATCTCCAGATTGCTCCCATCCAGAACAGTGTTTACCTGGTCGCCATGGCTCTCATCGCCGGTGCTCGCACCTACCACCAGGTTCGCGCAACCGTCAAGGTTGGCTTCTGGAAAGTCATGCGTGTCTCATGGATCACTTCTCCCATCTGCCTGGCTTTCGCCCAGAAGTTCCTTCCTGACCAGCTCTGGATTCCCTTCTTCAACATTGTGTCCTTCATCATTGGCACTTACATCAACACAATTACCAAGAAGAAACGCCTTGCAGCTCTCCGTAAGAAGCACTTCGGCGACGACCGCCGATCCAACGCTGGCGACATGCGCCCAGGCCGCCCCGACGACTACCCTCCTCCTGGTATGGGCGGTGGCCCTAACCCTCCTTACTAAGTGACACAATCTCAACTGTCAATCCGAGCCCGGTGAAACCAAGAAGACAGTTAAAAGACGATAATGGGGGTGGCAAAGACTTTAAAGAGAAGGGAAATGTGGAGCTGAGAGAGTAAGCGAATGATGGCTTCTTGGTAGCGAGCGGATGAACACAAAACCGTGCTCGGATGGGCTGCGTCGCTTGACGAGTATATACCCGAGATGAGGGGGTGAGTAGGACTGTTGCCTGTCCTGAACTCAAGCTGTTCAACATGTATCTACAAGGAATTTCTGTTTTGGCGAAGGACATGGTGGATGTAGATGGCAATATGTATGTTTGTGTGTGCGAGTTGCTGGTTAATGAAATGAACTACCTAGTATTTTATCTTTTTTGTCATGTGTCTCCCGTGTCCCAATTCGCTGGCCAGCTCTTGGCTGAGAGAGAGTTGAGCTTGGATTTGTGCAAGTGACGTTGGACAACAGTGAATGCCACCTCCTTGTCCATGGAGCCTCTTGTCACATTAAGCTGCGTCAGCCGATCATCATTTGAAATTTCTCGTTTTGGCTTGAGACGTTTGTTGAACTGTCTTGGCAGTTGATTTGTACTCTTGACTCGGAGACAACGTGAACCTTGTGAGCTGGACTATGTTTGACAGCAGCTGGAATCGCATCAAACGCATAAGGTCGAGGCTGTCTGCTATGAGTCTCCAGTCTGTGTGTCTGTAAGGACTTGGCCCAGAGGTGCGCTCTATACCGGGATTGTTCAGGTTCTGGAGGCTTGGTGTCTTTCTCGTAGGAACGGTGGACTGGTAAATGAGCTCTTCTCAACCTCCCTCCTCAGGACCAACTGTCTCGGCCATAAAACTAGGGCTCCAGTATTCCCATTCGCCTTTTGTCTGCTTATCGACCCATAACATACCTCCCGCAACAAGATCGTCTATCACAGTCCGGGCGCGGGCTCTATCCCAGCCCAAGTTATCCCTCAGCATGCCCACACTCACGTATCCCAAGACCTGCGCGGCCTCGACGACCGAGACCTGATCATCGTTGAGCTCGCGAGGTACACTGCGCACGTACTCCTTACGACCGACACGCACAACAGCATATGCGCCGCCCAGGGGAGCAAGAGTCTGCACAGCGCGCCGAACGTCGTCGTCGGCGATAGGGTCAGCGCCGTCCATCCGCCCAGCAGCAACGCGCTCTCTCAGATCGGCCAGACCGATAAGGCCTCCATTTTCTCCCCGCGTAGCACCACAGACCTCTACAATCCGCACGGCGAGCTCAAAGTAGAAATCGTTGACCGTCTTTCCCAGCAACTGCGCCCATATAGAGCTCCCGTCGGCACTGCTGTTGCTGTTACTGCTGGCTAACGGGTCTACACCAATAGCAGCGCACATACGCGCGAATTGGGCGCGGAATGCGGGATCGGAACGAATGTCGCGGGCGTGCGTGTTGGCGAACTGTTGCAGGAGGGAACGGAAGACGGCGAGCTGGGTTTCGAGAGCCTGGGCGTTGTTGGCGCGGAGGGAGGAGCCATGAGAGGCGAATTGCGCTGATGTGAGGCGCGAGCGGTCAAAGGCCGCCAGGCCTACACCTTTACGAGACATTGTAAAGATACAAGGTTCAAGTTTTGAGTTTAGGATATTGTTGAAGAAGGAAAGTACTCATAGTGCTGGCGGTTTAGAATTACGTCAAATGGCGGGGGTGGGGCCGGTTGTGTAGGTTGTAAGCTTGTATCAACGTTTATTTGATCGATATAAGAGAAGGCGGACTTAGTTTTTCAAACAAGGTTCTTGAGGGTGCTCTTACAAACGTTACTCGAAACGATAGACGATCTGGTCTGTTAAGGCTATAGGTCATAAGTCTTGAGCAGCACACTCAACGGCACATGTAGTAGAACAAGTAGTGCGGTGAAGAGAAGACCACCGGTATTGTACCTAGAACAGATATGTCTCATCAGTCGGTATCTGATGTCTGTCAAATCACCAGAAAGAGCCCAGAAGAACAATAGTAGATCCTCCATCAAGGTGGCTCAAGACCTCAACTAGCCCAAAGAGGTGGTGGGTCTAGCTCAAGTATCCATTATATGGTTAGCACAGTAGCGAAGACATATAATTTCCCCTTTTGTTCTTCTTTCTCGTCAACGGCACAAAATACTTCATTTCGCCAACTTTTGCAGTAACTTCAAGGTCTAAAACGTACTTATACATGGATGTATATCTATCTTGTGCGTCGTATGACGCAATGGGACCTCGCCTTCTCAAAGCAAGATCTATCCCTCCTGAATCCCAAGAGTGGTTTGTGTGGTATGGTATCATGTCATCTCTGGCCCTGAGATGTCCAAACCGAACATAGTCTTCAGTCTTCTTCCTTTTTGATGAAACTTCTGTTGAGACCTCGCCATAGCCATGGCAGCGTCTAACCGGCCTCTGATCCTGAAATAGTCGTCGCTTCGTTAACCCAGGGCGGAAACCTTGCACTTCTAGGCCTACTCTATCTTTGCTACTGATCGCAGTATGTAGTTGATCACTGTGTCTGGCACTGAGGTTGACCGTCGCCCATATCGTCGTCATCGTCTTCCCAGTCAGCACCGAATCGGCCGTCGCCTGAGTTTTCGCCCATCTGTCACCAAGTTAGCTATTGTGCAATATTAGGGCCGTGGAGCCAGGCTATATTTACCTTCTCAATGTCGGCATCGTCCTCATACTCAACCTCGTCGACCTCGTCGGCCTCAACGTTGGCCGGAGCAGCGGGCAGCATCTTCTGCAGAGCCTCGTACTCGGAGTCATTCTTTAGCCATCCATCCTCAGGGAACTCAACCTTGACAATAAGGTACAAGTCGCCCTTGGCCTCGCCACGCTTCATGGGCATACCCTCACCAGGAATCTTGAGGCAGTCGTCTGGTCGCAGAATCTTGCCACGAGGGCGTTCGATATGGATACCTCGTCCATCGAGGTGCTTGAAGACTGTGCGGGAGAAGCCCGATAAAGCCTCGCCAAGCGTCACAGTCAGCTCGGCAGACAAATCGTGGCCGATGCGGGTGAAGACATCATGGGGCTCTTCGACCAACGTGAAGACGATATCACCGGGCGTCTGGTCCGGGTGCTGATCGGCCTCGCCTTCAAGAACGATGCGCTCGCCCTGCATGGATCCTCGGGGAATGTAGATCTCGAGAACCTTCTTTTCTTGGCTTGTTCGCTTGCCCTTGCACTTCTTACATCGGTCCTTTTCCTTGAAAACCTGGCCGGCGCCCTGGCAGTGGTCGCAAAGAACAGTCTCGCGTCGCATCATGCCGGGGCCGATCTGTCGGAAGGCCTCGACGATACCGTTACCCTTGCAACGCTCGCAAGACGCAGCCTTGGCTTTCTCCTTGCCCCCGGAACCCTTGCACTGGCCGCAGAGTACCTGCTTGTTGGCGGCAAACTTGACAGTCTTGCCACGGTAAAGCTCCTCCAGTGTCACCTTGTACTCTTGCTCCTCGTCAGGGCCACGTCTGGGTCGACGAGGTCCGCCGGGGCCGCCAGGACCTCCAGGACCACCAGGACCCATGCCGAAACCGAACATCTGGGAAAGGATATCGTTGAGGTCGACCTCGGGGCCACCGGGGCCACCGCGGGACTTGTCGAAGGCGGCCATGCCGTGGACGTCGTAGAGCTCGCGCTTCTGCTCATCGCTAAGGATTTCGTAGGCTTGTGTAACTTCCTTGAACTTGGCTTCTGACTCTTCTCGGTGCTCCTCGGCAACCTTGTCTGGGTGGTACTTGAGAGCGGCCTATCGGGAATTTGTAAGATATTTTTCTGTGGTTCTTTGAGTGGTGCAATCACAAACCTTTCGGTAAGCCTTCTTTATCTGATCCGGTGATGCGGTTCTGTCGATTTCGAGGAGTTCTATTCAGCCGAATTAGCCATGTCTTTTCTTCTTATCAACCACCAACTCCAGCGATAGTGAATGGCCGTCGTGGTAAATCTTTTCAAGAAGCGATCGAAACTTACCGTAGAGATCAACTTCTTCCGGTCCCGGAGAGCCAGCGTTGAAAGGATCATCCATCTTGAAGATTTGAATGTACTGTAGTCTACAGTACTGTAATGTAATGCAGGATGAAGAATTGGTCCGCTCCTGTAGATCAACTCTGTTGGCAGGGACCCGTAGAAAATCTTTTGGCGTGGGTTGTAGCGCGGGGTACTCTACTTAGGTATTACCTGCAGTAGGCAACTGATAGTATCTGATTGAAGAAAAGAATTTTAGTCCTTTTCTCTTTTAGTATCTTTCAGGCTAGATCAAACAAGATTCTTTAAAATAAATTTCTTTATTATTATATAGGCAGTCATTCTGACAACACTTATTCATCAGGCTCTGGATGCGTCATGTTCGTTGACGCCTATTTATCTTCTGTGCCCCTCCATTTCAACCTGTTTGTGATTACAAGTCATTCTTTTAACACGGTCGTATTCTCAAACTTCTTCCGTAGAAAACATAATCATGTTAGTTACTAATGACCCAGAAGAAGCAATCCATTCACTATTACTATTTAATCACTATTATACTCAAGTTCCATCAAAACTCGAATACATCTTCACAATGCCACTGATAAGAAATTTTAATCCTTATCTCTAACAAGACCTTTTAACGGTTGCCACATAGTGGCGCACCACTCATTCAAAGGATGCACTAGCCGCAATATCCTAAACTCATGGGTAGACTCGTCTAACTCACTCACACTTGTATAAGTCCTTGATTGGATATGAACATTCTATCTTCATCATGAGATTACTGTTGAGCCGTTTAACGCGGCTATCGACAAGCCTTATACGGGCTCAAATCCTCCACCGTTCAACAATACCAATTCGTCGAGGCTTTACCAGCTCACTCGTTCGACATGATCAAAATTCTGATACAGCATCCAAACCTTCACCAACTCAGAGTAATACGGACATCCTCTCTGACGAAGCAAAGCAGAATGGCCAACCGGCCAAGAAAACTTCAAGGTTGGCAGCCTTGAAAAAGCGTAACCAGACGTCAAATACCAGCAAGACCGGGGTCAAAGTAGATGAGACAAGTCAACGATATATCCTTGGACAATCTGCCGACAGACCAATTCGTGCGCGCTTTGCGCCGTCTCCTACTGGATATCTGCACTTGGGGTCACTCAGAACAGCTCTTTTCAACAATTTGGTAGCAAAGGCTACAAAGGGAGGTGACTTTATTATACGAATTGAGGACACCGACCAGGTAAGTCTGCACTCCTTTGCTCATTTAAGGTGTACGTATTGACACATACAGAATCGTTTGGTACCCGACGCCGAAGAGCGTATATTTAAGGACCTCGAATGGGCTGGTCTGTCATGGAGCGAAGGTCCCGACAAAGGCGGTCCATACGGCCCCTATCGTCAGGTAAACACACACTGAGCCTATGACACGGATGCATACTAAGAGATCATCATAGTCAGAACGTCTTGAGACCTACAAAGAGCATACTCATACCTTAATCGAAAACGGTTCCGCATATCGCTGTTTCTGCAACCAGTCGGTACTCGAGGCCCAGAAGCGTGCTCTTCACGACGCCGGCAAGTCCACTGCTTACCCAGGAACATGCCGCTCCGTTCCGCGTTCTGAGTCTGATGAACGAGCTGCCAAGGGCGAAGCTCATGTCGTTCGATTGGATTCGGGCCGCTTCGGTACGCCAAAGTTCAAGGATGCTATCTATGGCCCTTTTCAGAAGAAGGAGCCCGAGGAGGATTTTGTACTAATGAAAACCGATGGCTTTCCTACCTATCATCTTGCGAATGTGGTTGACGACCACCTCATGAAGATTACTCATGTCATCCGTGGCGAGGTCAGTGCAGCAAGATATCATGGATTATGATATTGTTTTCTTACAATCTGCAGGAATGGCTCATCTCGACGCCCAAACATTTGGCTCTCTACGAGGCTTTTGGTTGGGAACCTCCGACCTTTGCCCATCTAGGTCTTCTTGTCAGCAACGATGGATCAAAGCTTAGCAAGCGCAATGCTAGCGTTAACCTTTCAACATATATGGACCAAAAGGTTTTTCCTATGGCCCTACAAGCCTGGCTCGCTAACTTGGGTGCTTCGTTCAAGAAAGGCGTCCAGACACCACGTTTCCTGGAAGATGTGGCTGAAAACGTACGTGATGCTAGTTGAAACGAAGCAGAAATACCCTTTATTGAGATACTGACAAGTGATGCAGCTGAGTTACAAATTTACACGTGGTGGTATAAAACTAAATCCACAAAAGCTTGACTTCTTTCAACACGAGTACCGGAGTCTGTTATTCAAAATCCCTCTCTCCGACCACACTCCTCGCGAACAGGCTCTCATTAGAGACAACCTACTCAGTCCCCTTATCAACAAAGTCCACGAAATCACCTCGTTTTCCAAAGAGAGCACTGGCAATTATGTACCGATCCAACCACGTGGTACCTCTCTCAAGTGGCCTGGCCCTTTGACTCCAGTTCCAGCCATGCTGTTATCTGAATCATCGCAGCAGTCATATGCCTTCCAAATCCTTGCTCAAGAAACCTCGCGATACACATCCGCGGATGACATACCGCGCCTGCTGCCATACCTGTTCTGGCGCCCTCCCATTGCCATCTACCGAGCGGCGCTCGCTACTGAGACTCCACGTCGTGATTTGATCAACCTCGTTCATGATACGGTCAATTCGACAGACAGTTGGGAAATGGGTTTCGAGCGCCTCTTGGAGCGTGTCCCTTCTGATCAAGCCCCTGATCTGCATAGTATTCTTCGCCTGATTGCTGTTGGCAGCCCACAAGCTGTCGCCAAGGCATCCCGTATATTGTTCAGCATCTTAGGTCAAGACGAGTGGCGAGTTCGTGCCACTCAAGTGCGCGATTTGTTGCATGAGCTGGACTCAGGGGGTGAGAGCATTCGTCAGAGGTGGACAGACGAAGCTGCACCTATAACTTCAGAAGCCGACGCCGTTGTTGGATAAGTATTCGATTTGTACGTGACAAATCTTCGACACTGAGTTAGATCGACACGTTGTAAGATCAATGTAGAACAATGTATCACTTCAACAATATAGATAGTGCATATCACTCGTCCGAATGTATGCGTACATGGGTCGAATTCGCAAACGATTAGTCAATGTGCTGTCATAACTTCATGATTGTTATCAACTATGAACTTCCTGTGTCCCTTTTCCTGTCCTGTTGTGACAGGTAATTATTCTGGTAGAACCAAGATCCCCAACTCCGGCTCCTCTCTAACTAGATTCCTTGATATGCTAACTACTGTGACATGCCTTCGAAAAAGTACAAGATTAAGATAATGGCAAGATCGCCATAGAATAAATAAAAGACACTCGCGTTGGGATTTCTCTCAACTCACGAGCCTCTGAGGTGTGAAGAATTTATAAATGTCCAAAAATGCAAATTCGCTGTGAGGGTATATATCTAAAGTTGAAGGATCCAAATCTGTGATGATGTTAGCGATCGGAACATTGGCTTTGAGCTGAGAGATGTTCACATACCTCCATCTTTCCTGTCTCTGTCCGTTGTTTTCTTGCCTCATCCTTGACACTATCGATCACCATTTCTAGGTCGTCTTGGTCGCCGACTGTGATCATGTCTCCATTGGGCATATCGTCGTCCTTGACCTTGATCTTGAAACGACGTTTAATGTTGAACTTGTCACGGACTTTGTCGCTTAATGTTTCGAACCGGGTGTCGGGTGTAATCATGATGAGCTTGACTTCATCAGCGTGGACCTTGACTCGGATCTTTGTGACCTCAGTTCGACGGCTGTTTCTTGAGCCGCCCGAAACAGAACCAGGACCTCGGCGTTGGCCGATCATCTCGAAATCGTTCTCGTTGATGGTTCCCTCATAATCTGAGGCATCTTCCTCTTCGGAAAATTGCTGGGGTCTCATCCGTCTGCTGCCAGCTGATCCTCTGGAGTTTCGGTAGCCATCAGTTGCCGAATACATTGCGTATACATCCTCTGGTGATCCTGTCTCCTCTGGAATCTGCTTAGGCCTCAACTGCAATGGTGGGGGTTCCCTTTGCAGCGGTGTGCGAGTAGTTGACGCTGACCTGGCCGGCATGGGCCTTCGGCTATCCGCAGGTGAGGCTGTCTTCTCATACCGCCGGTTTGGCTCGGCTTGCTGAATGTTGAGTTTGGCCAACTGAGGCTTCTGGTTGCGCACAGAAGCGGCTCGTGAGGGGCGCTCATTCTCTGGTGGGGGTGTTGGCGGAAACACGTTTCGGCCGTTGGGAGGTTCCGATTGTTGTCTTCGAGATGATAGACCAGGCTTGACGAGGTTTGTGGCAGCAAAGGAGATATTGTCGGCAGGACGGTCGTCCTTGACTTCTAACTTGCCCGCCTGTAAAGTGTTAGTCATGGGCTTTTCACGCATGAAAGGGATAGCTGACATTCTTGATCTCAGAGCCAGCAAAGCCGGTAAAGGCATTGGCACGGTCTGAAGCAGCGACAAGTCTCGCCTTGCCGAGGTAGTCTTTCGTCTTGAGATTTCGAACTTTAGCCTCGTTGGGTCTGTAAACAACTCCCACAGGGATAGAAAAGACAGTATAGCCCTATGGATGTTAGAAAAAGCAGTAACAAACGACCAGCAATTCACTAACCTCTGCCTGTTCGTTGATAGCATCGTCGATGACGTTGTGGTCTTCGACCACCTTCTCCTTAACAGCATACGAGAAATCTTGCATTCCAGCATCTAACTGTTGCAGGTAGATGTAGCAGAGACCTCGGTTGAAAAGCACTTCGCAGGAGTAAAGCTTGAATAGGAGACCCAGTTGAGCATAGTCGATCATGGCATTGCCACGAAGATATAGGAGCGTATCGTTGAAGTTGGCGAGCGCTTCCTCAAAGTCGCCGAGAAGGAAATTCGAAACGCCCTGTTGGAAATAGGCAACGGCGAGGTATTGGTCTAGCCGAATTGCTCGCTGATAACTCTCAACCTGGGAAATAGGATCAGTATATGAAATGCGGCGGGATTCGCTGAGGACACAACTTACAGCCTTCTCGTGCTCTCCAAGTGTGGCATGGATAACACCCATGTTGAACAGAATCTTGCTAGTGTCGCCAATCTTTCCAAACTCGTTGAGGGCTTCTTCGAATTCATTGTTATCGTAACGGCCCAGGGCTGCTACCCAGGTCTCGATTTCCTGTAGAAATTGTGTTAGTGGAATGGCCTGCAAGACATGGCGTCTCAAAGCCAGAGGCGGGTGAGGACTGTACCTGTTTCAACGACATGATGGTCGCTGCAGGACAATGTACCACAATAGAGTTGAATTTGTCGTTACAGTAATACACACAATAATGGACGAGTCGGGACTAGAAAGTGATATGGGGAGATTCCTGTGGTAAATAGGGAAATTCAAAGCTTGAAGGGAGAGATGGGGGATTTTGGGCTGGGCGCTTAGATGTATGAGGGACTGTGCCGACTTATTATTTGGAGGGCAGCGTCTGCACCTGAAGTAAAGTCCGGTGCAGTCGGGTTGGCTGGCGGGGCAGGTACGCTAGGCACGGTACGGGGGTACAGGGGGTAGTGCCAGTAACAGGGGCTGGGGGGGTCAAGCCAAGCCTGGCAGGGGTAGAGACAGCGACAGAAGCGGTGTTGCCCTTCTACCCTGGGATGGATGGAGCGTACAACGGTTGGTCTTTCCCTGCTTAAACAAGCAATTGGTGCACTTAAGTCCTCGATGGCTTGGCAGCCGAGCCAGTGGCGTTAGCTTCAAGGGAGAAAGAGGCAAGTGAAGAATCGAAGAAGGGATTGGCTTATTTTGTGATACAGTTAATCGGTATGAGATTAGGTTAGATCTTATTTTTAATAGCTTCCACTTGTTAGTCCTGAGTTCTCAATACGCGCCTTCGAGCTTATGTGGGTGGCTCAGGATATCACAGACTCGACAATATGCGTGATCTTAATTCAGAAACAATCCAGCTCTCAATTGACAACTCTAAGAAAAAGAGCCGGCCTTCTCGGCATTATTACGCGTATCTGGTAAAAACAACGCAAAGCAGTTAGAGAGCCAAGAGTTGGTCTGCTGTAAGTGGGATGTTTCTATCCGACCAAGCTGCAAGAATATGGCAGAGCAAGAAAACTTCCATGATGAAGAACAAAACCGCCCAGGACATTGTTTCTCGGAACATTACTCGATCACTGCGAGCCAAGAATGAATGGCAAGGTGATGGGGGTGATTTATGCATTGTTAAGTTGATATGACATATCAAGCGACAATTGATTGATGAGTGGTTGCTACATCTAGACCCAGCGCCTAAAGAGGATGGGAATTGGTCAAGTTCCTTGACCCAGAGTTGGTTGTCACAGGCTAACCTTGGGAGACCTTGGGAGACCTAGGGACCTGGGGGACCTGACTGACTTCGATTCTACAACCACACTTTCTGTACGGCGGGTCAGGGGGATGTGCAACAAGGGTCGGCACGCTTTTCTTCTTTTTCTGCTCCTTCTCTCCCATCTGCTACAGCAATGTTTTGAGCGGTATCTGAGATCTGGAATGTACGACTGCTGTAAGTGCATGTGCAACGTCTGATCGACCGCTAGCCTGATGTAAGAGAATTGCACTCTTACCGGGCCGGGTTTGAGCTGCCAACCTAAATCCTCATCTCGTTTCGATTTCGGGGAATTCTCAAAGGAGATTGATGAGTGAGGGAGAGTCTGATCTAAGATTCAGTGATTGTATTGCATTCGTATCCATCGCCACTAGCTGCTATCCGGGGGTTCTCTAGGTCACCAGTCAGCCAACCAGTCTAGCAGTGATTCAGTAGTGCTGTGATGTGATGACTTAGTAATCAAATGTGATGCAGGTAGGTAATTCATCAAGATGCTGCAGGTGTTGAAACCAGCTCACATGTTGAATCGAACCACTGCATTCATCAGCCTCATAAGATGCTTTAAAAATCGAAAGGTTCGATCCGAGTTCTGATCGTTGATTTCCATACCCGGGATTGACAACTATGCCATAGTTTGGTAGGGGCAGGGAAGTTTATGCACCTGCTGCACCGATTGTCACAGGTGCTGGTCACTGTCAGGGGCGCTTTTTGATTGGATATTAGTCAAGGGTCCTGGGGCTCCATGACCCGCCTAGACACCCCTCGGCGCCTACTGCGAGTCTTGTCTGCTAACCTTTCAGGTAAGTAAATGGCCTCAATGGGAATCTACAAGCATCACCCAACAATGAATTACAGGATATACCCCGGTCGAGCACTCTTTAACACGCTACTGACTGCATCCAAGCTGTTGGTGTCGAATGACGTGCCTACCGCCTGTCCTCTCGATCAACTTTAATCTGGTTCTAAGCGCCCTGTGCCAGACCGTCAATGTGATAACCCAACGTTGGACTCCACAGATCAGGCCCAAGCCATGGAATGGGGGCATACTCGGTCCCGAGGGCACGGGATCAAAGGAAACTTCGCCAGTGGTCTTGTTCGTATGCGAGGTCCAGTAATTAATTGACAGTGGATCTAAGTTGCGGTGGGAGAAGAACGACGAACGGTAGGACGGGAAAGACGTTATGCTTTTGACAAACCTACAGCCGAGATTCAACCCTAACGGCTTCAAGCGATCTTGGCAATGCTCCTGTGCCATGGGAACGGAGATGAGATGAGTAAGTAGCCACCAACAGCGTTTCTCGAAATAGGTTCTGTCTTGAATTGTTTTCCTCACATGACTATAGAAACCGACAGTTGTCATGGCTGTGTCGTGTCATTGACCCTATTCATCTACTGGATTCCTAACCTGTGATGGAATATGCCTTGGATTACCGCGCGCGTTGTACGCTAATGCGGCCACTCAACACGCATCTCAATATCCAATGTAACGCTGTAACACGGCCTTCATCCTGTCTTTGACAGGCATCTCAGTACTGCTGAAAATTTCTCTCGTCTTCAGGCCTTGCAACTTGGCCAACAGTAAAGTATGGACATAACCACACCCCTCTCTCAAGGAGG